GGGGGGGGGGGGGCTGTCGGCACATGCAGGAAGGGGGTCTGATGAAAGTAGGTGGCTGCAATGTGCAGTCAGGAGGTTCTGCCGCCGAGAGCGACAGGAAGAGCCAGCGGGGGCAGCGGGCACCAAGGCAAGAGGGCAGGAGGTGCCAGAGGAGCCCAGGGAGTAACAGCCCCAGGACAGACCTCGTGAGCACCTGTTGTATATGGGATAGTTTGGGATCTGGGAAAGGTGTGGAAAGGGACCGAGTTCTTCTCCCTCATGGGGCCCTTGGGCCCGTTTCGGAGGACACCGCACCCAGGGTTGGCCACCACCCCCAGGGTGGAAGTGCACGGAAGGCCCCAGCTGGAATGGGTTGGGGAGAACAGCACAGCCCCCCACTCCAGGCTTCAGCCTGGAGTTCTGGGGACGCCCAGCCCCGACAGGCCTGAGCACGAGGGTCCAGGCGGGTGGCAGGCACAAACTGAGGCTCCACCTGCTCCGCCCCCAGCGACAGGGGTGGACGTCTCCACTGCCCCAGCCCCTCCCCTGCCAATGCCTCCAGCGCCAGCATCACTGCCCAGCAGGAATCCGGCCACAATAGGCGACTGCAGGGTCCCACTAATGCAGGCCAACCCCAGTAGTGCAGGCCACCTGTGTCCTGAGCCTGACACCTACCCTCCAAATGGCCTTCCCTGTCTGGCAGTGAAGAAGACATTTGGTTTGAGAGTCCCCTCCCCTCGATGGCCATAGCCCCGCCGGCCAGTGGAACCAGCTCAGTGAGGCTGCACAGGCTGGGAGAGGCCCAGGTGGCCGGCAAGTCTGCCGTCCACGCCCTGTGCCCTCCCAGGGACAGCAGCCACAGCCCCCAAGGAGGGAGATGGTTCCATCTGGTCACCACTGAGTCCCCTGGACCGGCATGGCACTTGGCCCATGCAGATGGGTGCTGACCCTCTCACACCTGAGAAGATGGAGACCCCACCCTCCACCGGCTCCCCGTCAGGGTGGGGTCAAAGCAGCCAGGTGAGGGAAAGGGCCCACAACCAGAGGGTACAGCGGCGGGCACACCTGCACTAGAAAATGAAGAGGTGGCAGGGATCGGCCAGGGAGTGGACAGTGGGGCTGGTGCAGGGGTTGCCAAGTGGGAGTGTGGTGGGCGTGTGGTGGAGGCGGATGAGGGGGTCTCTTCTTCAGCCTTCCTGTAACCCAGCTCCCTGGAGCAGCTGAGCTGGAACAAAGAAGCTTAAACCCAGGACCACTCAAGAAAGCCACCCTCACCGGGCTGGGACTTGGCTAGGGTCTCCAGGAAGAGTGGGGCAGAGGCAAGCTCCTGGGGTGGGAAGAGGGGTCCTGGAAAGGCCCCAGGGCCCACTGCTCCCCGCAGTGAGCACAGAGGGCAGCCCTGGGCACCTCATTTATGCCCACTTGTGCCCCCAGGCCACAGAGCAGTTCACGGGGAGAAGGGGCACCAGGGGCCCTGGGGGGTCAGGCCAGACTCCCCTCCCCCACCCCAGCTGGCCCTCTGAGCCCTGCCCTTCCAAAGCCCCTAGAACTCTGGCCAGAGGACAAGTTCAGATAACGTGACCATGTGACCGAGGCAGAGATAAACTGTGGCCGCCCCAGGCCCTGATTAGCAGCAAATCCCAGGAAGTTTCCGCCCCATCCTGAAACCCCGACTCCTCAGCCTGTCTGCGATAAGCCCACCTGTCACCCATCCAGACCAGGCCCGGGCCTGGCCACCCCCACAGCCTCCCTGCCCAGGTGGGGGGCTGGCCCTACCCACAAAGGCTTTCCCCATTTGGTGTTTGCTCTAAAGCGAGCTTGGGGTACTCTCCTGGGGTCGGGCCAGGGCCCCGTAAATGCCCAGTGGTGCCAGTGGGGTCGGTGGCAAGGGGTCAGTGATAACACGTTTCCTCAAGGCCCAGACAGTACCCCCTCCCTGCCCTAGTGCACCCAGGGTCCCCACAAGGCTGGACTCTTCCTCCCAAGGGTGTGGGGGTCCTGCTGGTGGAGACAGGAAAGACACTGTGGCAGGGTCCACTGGCAGCCCAGGGATCCCACTCCCTTCCACGAGCCAGGTGGCCGTGTGTCCACCCAGCCAGTTCCTGGGCCCTCCAGCTCAGGGAGCTCCGGGCAGGTGGGCAGCATGGTTAGGGCTGGAGGAAGCACTGAGCGAGGCGAGACCTTCAGATGCTTCTCCAGCCTAGGTGGCCCATGCAAGGGATGGGTGCACTGAGGCAGTAGGGCCTTGGCTGTTGTCACCTGCAGGCCAGCAGCAGAGCTGGAAGGGGGAGGAGGACGCCAGGCCCTGCGAGGAGGTCATGGGCACCTGGGCAGGAGAGACCATGGGGCAGGGGCAGGTGGACACCTCTGACCACAGTGGGGTCAACGGTGGGCCTGGCCTAGGGGCAGTAGTAGAGGGGTGTGGGCAGGCCTTGCCCTTGGTTGGCTGGGTGGTGTGCTTGTTGCCCTCAGGCAGATGACTTAATCACAGGCGGGCTTTGTCCCCGGGCACCCGCCCCCTGCCGGGATCCTCCTCCTGACCAGGCTGCCGGCCGCAGGCTGCCCCCACCCGGCTCCTAGCAACCTGCAGCGGACCGTGGGCAAATGCGAGGAGGGCTGGGGGCTCTCCACCCACCTCGGGGCCTGGGAACAGCACGGGGGTGGCCACAGGGTGCATCCAGGGCGGATCCATCCTGGGCTGGGCTCAGGGGACGCCCGCCAGCCTGGCCTGTGCCAGCCCCCGAAGAGGGCATCCTGGCAGAGGAGGCTCCAGGGCCAGGGGCCAGGGGTAAGGAGCTTTGTATGCCACAGGTCCCCTCTCTTCCTGCCGCCCCCCCCCCAGCCTGATCCTGTCACAGCCTTAGAAAGTGAGACAAAGGCCCCAGGAGGCCCCGGAGGGCTGGGACAGAGGCAGGAGATGGGTTTTTAATGACCAGAGCCACAACAGTGGGAGCAGAGGCAGCTCATTAACCCTGTCGGGCCCTCACACTGGGCCCACCGACCGCCTCCGGGCCCCTCCCGGCCTTCCAGCTGCCCCCGTTGCTGACCCCAAGAGACTCTGGAAACAAAGTCAAAATCTCATCTCCAAAGAGACAGGGTCAAGGGGTCCCAGGTCGAGAACGCCCCTACCCAGGCAACCCATCCTCCAGTCCCCTGCCAGAGGCACTGGGTGAGATGGGTCCTGGGCAGGGGTGGTGGCTGGACCCCAGCTTGGAACAGCCCGCACCCCGCCCGCCATCGCTTCCCCTATGCATTTGCAACTTTCCCATTTCCTGACCTTGGAAGAGGAACTGAACCCTGACCTGGTGTGTTGCCTGCGGTGTGGGAACCTGCCTTCCTCCCAGATTGGAAGCCCCCAGTCCCTCACAGAGATGTGCCTGAAAAAGTGGAGGGAACTCAGAGCCCTTCATGGGCTGCAGAACTGGGGTATGAGCCCTCAAGACCCCAGTAATCTGCTCATTCCTTCATGTTCAGGGCAGCATGGGCTCTGTCTGCTTTGGTTTCCCCACCTCTAAAGTGGTGGTGGGTGTGTGGGCGGACAGGCGGCTGGGTGCAAGTGCTGGGGGTGGCCTGTCCTAGGCTGGAAGGCACACGATGCAGGGTGGGGCGCCTTGAGTCCCTGACTGCTTGCGGGAACCCCAACTGCCTGCCTGGGGTCCTGTCCTCCCACTCAGCCCCCCAGAGGTTCTCAGAGCCATTGCACCCCTGCCCCCTCAGCTCCTGCTGAAGCTCTGGCCTCAGACCTGTCATGTGACCTTGCCAGCACCTTGGGTCCCCTGAGCCTTATTTTTCTGGAGGGCCCAGGTGTCCAGGGACCCAGTGCAGAAATAGGGGAGTAGATTGAGGTTTGCAGTCCCAGCTAAACTGCACAACCCACAGGTAGCCCTCAGGGGTAGGGGACGGGAGTGAGCAGGCTCTCCCGGAAGGCAAGCAGGCCCCCAGCCCCCACCCCAGGAGCGCTCACGGCAGCCCTTGAGGTCAATGCTGAACAAGAGACTGAGGCCCAGACAGGGCAGCATCACCCACCGACACCCTGCACCCACCCCAAGGTGCCACGCTCCCGCAGCTAGACGCACGGAGCTACCGCGTCCTCGTCCCGGGCGGGGAGCTGGTGGGCAGCGCCTCACTGAGCGGCAGCAGCGAGTGGCACAGCAGCATGGTGGCCGTTCAGAGCAGATGGAAGGGCACGAAGGCGGCGTCCTCTCTGCCCAGCCAGCCCGACAGCACGTTCTGCACCGTGAGCCCGGCTGACTGGAACTCGTTGGGCGTCAACACGAAGCACACGGCGAAGAGCAGATAGGTGAGCGTGCAGGTCACCTCAGGGCTGTCCATGGCACCGCCGCCAGGTGGCCGTCCGGCGATGCCGACCGCCTGGGCGCGGGCGAGAGGCCACGGTGTCCGTCTTCGGCCGGTATGTTGTCGCTGCCGCGCCCGGCCGCCACGTGCCTCTCTGGGAGATGGAGTTTCCCCCGGCTCCCGAATCATGCCAACCGCAGGACATTCTGGGAAATGCCGTGCCAGCGCCCTGCCGTCGCGGGGCAACGGGAGATGGATACCGACCGCAGTCTGCAGCCTCCACGCCACGCGCGGGGCCCTCTGGGAAATGGAGTCCGACCAGCCTCACCCCACTCCCCGCCATGCCGCCCACAGGGCACTCTGGGAGATTGAGTCCGCCCCCAGAAGGCATGCCGCCCGCGGGGCACTCTGGGATATGGAGTTTACCACCGCCTCTCAATTATGTCCCGTGCGAGACACTCTGATAAATGGGGTCACATCGTACGGCCGCCAAGGGACACTGAGAAATGCAGACTCTGCGCTCCGCGTCCGACCAAAACCCGTGAGCCGCCGCGACACTGCCCACGAAGGTGCGGACCCTCCTGACAGACGCTACATCTGGTCCCATTTTACAGCTGGGGAAACTTAGTCCAAGCCAGCCGTCTCAGTCTGCGGGCATGCCGCTCAGCCCAGTCGCCTCTGCGGCAAAAGCTGAGATCCCCGGGACCGTGATGGTTCCCGCGACCCCGGCCCACCCTGGAGCAGAGGTTGTCCTGTGCGACCCTGTGGTCTTTCCAATGCCCGCCACACCTAGAATTATGCCGACCCGGAAGGAGAATCACAGGCGGGGGAGGAGGGAGGGGGGCTGGCGCAGCGTGTCTTCTTATTGGTGAACCAGCCCCCGGTCGCACGCTGATTGGCCTCGCCGATCCTATCGTCGGGATTTGAATCCGCGGGCGCGACAGCAGCAACCGGACTGGGCTGCGGCTACTCGGTACCCACGAAGCTTCGAGTCTCCTTCTTTCCTCGCGGCCGCGGCACGGGCTCCGAGCCCCGGCAGCAGCGAGCAGGTAGGCAGGCCGCCGCCGTTCCCCCCTCAGGATTCCGGGTTCTCCAGGACACCCTCTAGTTACTACCGCCGCCGGGCTCGGCCCCTCGGGTTCCCCTCTGGCCGCCGCTTCCCCAGAAGCGTCTCCTCCGCCGGAGCCACCCGGCCCCGTCAGCCGGCCCTTCGGTGCAGTGTGGCCCTGGGCAGTGGCCGGGCTGAGGCGAGCCAAGCCGCGGAGCGGGCGCGGGGCCCCGCCGTTGTCCGCGGGCGACCTGAGTCCATTCTCTCTCCTGAAGCACCGCGCTCCCAGTCCGAGGTTGGCTACCGTCTCACTCCCGCTCCCTCTTCTCGCGGTGCCTCTTGTGCGTTGATCTCCTCTAGCCTTTCTTCTGGGGCCAACTCCAGCTGTGCCACC